CACAGGGCCCTGGGCTGGAACCCGGAGTAGAGGGCGGGCCCGGGTTCCCCCCAAATCCTCCCAACTCCTGGTCAGACACAGGAGGAGTTGACCTGGACTGTGGGTTCAGAAAAACGGCCAAGCTGAGGGCTGCCGTGAAGCTCCAAGGCGAGCAAATCCGCCAATAAGCGCAAGACCCACCAAGGTAGAGCAGGAACTTTGTCACACTAGATAATTAACTTTTTGCTCATGTTTTGTGTCAATCTGCATTAGAATGGTAACTGGAATTTAAACACGCAAAACAGTATAGAAAATTTATTTGTATTAGACAAGACAACCTTAAATGTTTTAGACCCAAACTTCTCTGATCAAAAGATGTTTCACATTGACAATAAATAGAGGGATTAACTGTAGTCAGTGAATTAAACTGATTATTTCAGGTTGGTCTGTGAAAATTTTCAAATACGCCTAAGGGAAAGTAACTGGGGCTTAAAGTTCTCGTCTCGCCTATGTCTCTCGAGAAGAAGCCAATCTCCTAAATTACCTAGGCTACCAACTGTACCATATTTTTGAAACTTGACCTCAAAAGTTAGATGCTTTCACTGACTCTTTATCTAGAAAAGAAACCTTTAATTCAAAGTGGGGTGTGGTTTTTTTAAAGAGAGGGTCATGGATTCAGCTTATTTATTTGTTATTTAAATGTCTTATTATAATCTTCTAAGTTTAGGCCTCAACATATTTTGTATTAATTCTGATTTCATTTTAAACTGGCTCATTTTTAAAAAGAAAAACTTATAAAAAAATTTTTAAAAAGGAATTTTATTTAATTTAAAAAAAAAAGTCTTCCAATTTGTATCCACCCTGGACCTGTCTGTAATTATGACTCACTGCAGCTGTCCTGGGCACAAACCCAGCACTTTCAAGCAGCTGGTATACTCCATTGCAGCGCTCCGCGGCCCGGGAGCAACCCAAGACTCCCACTCTCAGGGGCTGCAGGGACAAGGCCCAGCTCCTTGAGGAGATGAGCTTGGAGGGCTATGTCAGAACACGTGTCAGTTTTTCAGACAGGTGGATCCCAGCTCGGGGGCCCTTCTCCGGGGCCCAGAAACAGCTCACCACAGCTGAGATTCACGCAGCGGCAAGAGACTAACGGCCGTAGAGCTGCTCAGAGCCCGTACTGCGAAGGCAGGAGGGATACTGACGGGGGAATTGTAGGGCCAGGGACCGGGGGGGGGGGGGCCTCTCCAATGCCCAGCCTGCGGGGCCGAGGGGGTAGGTGCAGTGCAAGCTTCTGCTTACAGCTCTGTTAATGCACCTTTGTCCTGGCCCGGAGCCCCACAGCTGCTCTGCTGACGGCTCTCAATCCTGACTGCTGCTAGCCCCCCTGCTAACCCAGCCGTGGGCTCCCTCCCACCCCCGGCTCTGCCAGTGCCCCTCACTCCCGACCCACAGCCCCTGCTATCCCAGCCCCCTCCCTACCCTATCCCCAGTGCCCCTCACTCCCGACCCGCAGACCCCTGCTATCCCAGTGCCCCTCAATCCTGATCTGCAGCCCCCTGCTAGCCCAGCCCCCTACCCTACCCCCACTGCCCCTCACTCCCGACCCACAGCCCCTTCTATCCCAGCCCCCTCCCGTACCCCCAGTGCCCTCACTCCTGACCCACAGCCCCTACTATCCCAGCCCCCTCTCCTACCCCCAGATCTGCCAGTGCCCCTCAGTCCTGATCTGCAGCCCCTGCTAGCTCAGCCCTGGGCTCTCCATCTCCCCCCCCCAGCTCTGTTGCTCCCCCCACCACTCTGGTATTATATCCAGCCCCGGTGATTTGAACACGGAGCTCCAAGCCAGACACCACCCTCCAGAAACTCATTTCCTTCATGATTTAATCTGGACTTGACACAAACCTTGGAGGGGAAAAAACCAGTGCCTTAAATTGCCCCCTAAACTCACCTCTCCTTCACTAGGGGGGAGGGCAGAGCCCAGTGACTGGGGGCAGGGGGAGCTCGCTGGAGAGGTGTCTGAATCCGGACACCCTGCGCTCACAGCCGGGCGGCGCCTCCTGGGTGAGATGTGGAAGGCAAGTCCGTCTTTTGGGAACTCCCAGGCAGTGCTGGGCTCCTGGATGTCCTTGCAGGTCACAGGGCCAGGGTCGAAGGGGAAGCAGCATCTCCAGCGCCTGGCAGGTGGTTCGGGTCCAGCTCGGAGACAGTGATTTGGGGAGTTTAAGGACCCAAATGGGTTCTGGGGCTACTCGTGACAGCCGTGAGGGGTGCAGAGGAGTCATTCCCACGCCACCGTTACCATCTGAATCTCTGCCCCCCTCTCCGGCATAGCAGCTCGAAGCCGCAGCTGACGGCGGAATCACAGTGTCGAGGTTTCCATCGTCTTCCCTGGGCGCAGGATCAACCCTCAGTCAGCAGCAATCTGGACACGGCCCAGCGCACCTGGGAGACCAGCCCCGGGACCACCTGCCCAGGCCTTGGGCCAGAAATGGTCTCTTCCCATGTCATTTCTCGTGGGCGCAACGCCCATGCACACGTGTGTGCAGGACACTTCCGCGGTGGAGCCAGGCCGCAGCTCCGGGTGGGTCGCTGGGCACTGCTGCGTTCGGGTCCCAGGTCGGCCACAAGGAGGGGTTGGAGCATTCACGCAGCAGTGGGCTGAAGACGCCAGAGGACGCCCCAGGGGCAACCGGAGCATTTTCCTCCTACCATGCCCCAGCAGAGCTGTCAGCAGGCAGCGTGTGCCCGCGAAACCCTGCCTGCAACCCAACCCTCCCCCCTGCCACCAGCGATTAGTGAGGGGGCTTTGAAACCCAGGCGGGGGATGGAAACTCAGGGGTGCCTTCCGGGCACAGCACCGAGAACCGTGCGCCAGGGAGACCTGGCCGGGGCCCAGAGCGTGAATGTGATCCCCCCAGGGTGCCAGGAAACTGGAACCGGCCTGGAGGGAAGCCCCCTTCTGCCCTGGCTCCAGCAAGCGGGAGGAAGGCACCCGAACCCAGCAGCATCTGCCAGGGAGACGCCCCGGCCCCATCTCCTGCATCCCAGGGCTGGAAGCAACTGAAGGTGGGACCCAGACAGATTAAAATAGACTCTCGGCTTTGGCAGGGCCCCACCGGGACCTGAAAAGGCCTGGCCTGGAGAGCTCTGGGGCTGGGAAAGGGACGCAAAGGGCCGCGGGCAGGCAGGCAGAGGTCCTGCTCAGCCCCAGCCCCATTGCCTCCTGCTCTTCCCACAGGCCCACAGGGTGCAGGACAAAACCTCGCAAACAGTTTCAGGGGCAACCCCCATTGCAGGTGCCAGGCCAGCCAGAGGGTAGCTCAGAGCTACGGCGAGTAACGAGACCCCGTGGCCAGCAGCCCGACCGCTTCGCTCACACGCTGTAGCCCATCCCCGGCTCCCACAGCCCTAGAGTGCGTTGGGGCGCGGTGCTCCTCAGGGGTCCCCGGAGAGCAGAATAGCCAAAGCAGAAAGGAATGGGGGGGGGGACAGCCGATGGACCGACAAGGGTGGGGAGGCTGCAAAGGATCCAGGCAGAGGTAGGGAGAGCCCAGATCACCTATGAGGAGCCGCCTCGCTCTACAGGCCCCACTACAGTAACACCAGCCTGAGCCGCGGGCAGCAGCTCGCAGAGGGAGGTGGGAGACACGGCTTCTAGGCCCAGCTCGTCTAGCCCCGTCCATGCCTCAGTTTCCCTGCCTGCTACAAGTAGGCCAGGTGCTGTCAGTTCGCAGCTGGGAATGGCTCCGCTGGTCCCTACCCCGCAGGAGCCCGGATGGATTTCTGAACTCAGGCTGCCCTTGAGGTGCTGCGAGCCAGGCCGGGAGTCCAGGTACCAGCTGCTGGGTGGAGGATTAGGCTGTTCGTGCTGGCGGGAGCTATCTGCAGCCCCGACAGGCCCAGTGGAGCCCAGCTAAGCCTCTGCGTCCAGCTCTGCTCCGTCTGCTGGCCGCAGGCGCACGGTCATGTTGACGCTCTCAGCCAGCGCAGCCCGGCCGCTCCCAGGGAGGCGCTTGTAGATTTCACCCCCACAGAAGGGAGGTAAATTTCTTTTCTCCCTTGTGGGCAGCACCTGGCATCTTCCCATGGGACTCATGCCGACAAGGTCCACCACAAATCACCAAACTCTTGCCAGGGTCCCCAGCACAGGAAGGGGGGAAAGCCCCCATCCAAGAGGAGGCCACTAGCCAGGCTGAGAGAAGCTGGAATTGGGTTATGGGGACGGCACAGACCTAGTTCACACCTGGATCCCATCCTCATTTACCATCTGCCTCTCCATGCAGGAGCTCAGGAACGGCCCAAGCCCCGCTCTGGGATCTTGCCCCAGACTTGGCTTGTTTTATCGGAGGTCCCTAAATTGCACTTGAAGCAGATCTGCAGCCCCAAGTGAAATGCAGATGCTCTAGCAGGATTGAATCTTCAGGCTGGCATGACGGGGCTTGGGCAGAGCCAGCGAGGGGCGGGTAATCTCTGCAGGGGAGCTCAGAGCTAGCTAGGAACCCCACCTAGGAAAGAGAGCACACGCTGTCTGTTAACTGCTCCGCAGGAGAGCGGCCTCTTTGAGCCCAGCCAACAGGCCCAGGGAGGGGGCGTAGAAAGGAACCCCACTCGCCTCAGAAGCAGGGCAGCGTTTCCCTGGAGGTGTTTCAGAACCAGAGATTTCCTCCGAAGCCCACTCAGCAATACGCTGTAGGACCTGACAGTGGATGGCTTCGGCCAAATACAAGATTAAGAGCCATCACCGTGTTCCACTCATGTGAATGGCGCAGACAACACACAAACAGCTCCTGCAGCCAGACGCAGACAAGACCGTGGGGTGGGTCTAGACAACGGACAGGTCGGGGAGAGGTAGGGAGACACCCACTGAAAACTGCCAGGATCCTCCCTAGAGCGGATTCACCCCCCACTGCTGAAGAACCAAGGATCTGGGAGCCTCAGGGTGCGCTTGGCAGGCCTCCCGGATCTCCTGCCTGCAGACGGCCCCCTCTCTGATCCCACACTCAGAGATCAGACAGGAGCAGTGATGCTTTGGGTTTTTCTTTATTAAGTTTAAGTTACAAAACAGAAGCATTTTTAAGTCGCGTCAAGGCGGGGATGGAAAAAATGAGACTATCTGTTATAAAACCAGAGCCCGGGGTAAGGGAGGGAGCCTGGCGCTCTGTCCCCGTTCCGCAGGGCTGGCTGCGGGCTGGGGGAGGAGAGACCTGGAGGGGGTTAAGACACTGTTGGCACAACAACATGGCCGATGATCAGCAAAAAGGGACAAAGCTTCTCCCCAAGGAAGCGCAAGATTTGGCTGCTCAGTGCCGCGGCCAAGCCCAGCTCTCACTGCAGGGCAAGGGCATGGCAGTCGCCAGGGGATCCCGGCTTCTAGCCTTGCTGGACAAGTTACAGCCAACCTGCCTTCTCTGCTGCCCAGCCTCCCCGCTCTGTTCGGCTTGAAAAGCTAGCCTGTCCCTCTCTACGCAGGCAGGGGCGCGCCTGCCTTTCCAGATGTCTTAACAGCTGCTGGGCTGAGGCAGATGCCAACCTGGGCCAGGGGAGAAGGAGGACGGACAGACAGGAGAGCCAGAGCCCTTGTGTATAGAGGCAGCCTTGAGGCCTGGCACCCCAGAATAGCTGATGTCCCTGGAGCCCTTGGCACCTGCCTGAAGTCACTCCTGCCGGTCCCCCTGCCGCCCAGAGGCAGGATCCCCTCATTCAACGGGCTTTGGACAGCAAAGCGGCTGAGCTCACACATGCACGAGCTGCTGCCTCTAAGCCTGGCCAGCAAAGCGGGCTTTCGAACCCAGCTCCGTCCTGCCGGCTGAGGGCAGCACTAGGAGGAGGTGCTCTACTTCAGTCCAGGGGATGCCGGACAGCCAGTTCACGGTGCTTTGAATACAGCAGTCACCCAGCAGCCGGAGCAGCTGAAATGCGCAATTTATAGCCCAGAAACACTACCCTGCTGTCACCTCCACCCCGAAGGAAGGGCCCAGAACCCAGGAAGTCAAAGCCTTTCACACCTGGGTTAATTGCAAGTTCTCTCCCTTCCCTCGCTCCCCCAGCACGTGGAGCGCAGATGGGCCTCGCTCCAGCCATCGCCAGTCGCGAACGGAAACCACAGCCAGGGCAGGCACTTGCAGCAACCAGACACTCCGCCAGAAAGACGCTGCTCCACGTCGGACGGAGAGAGAGCCGCCCCATGGGCGAGACGCAGCCGGTTCGCGCTCTGAGGAGGGGATAAAACAACTGGGTCAACTTTTATTGAGCTCGCTCGTCTAACAGACTTGTAAACGGTGAGCGTGACAAGGAATGCGAGGGAGGCAGCCCGTGCCCCACGCACTGCCAGCACGGAGACTGCGCTACGGGGAAGAGTCCACATCCGGCCTGGCCCCAGGCAGGTGCCAGGCGAGCTGGGAAGAGGCGGTGCTTGGCTTTTAAGCTGCAGTAACAGTATGTGCTGGTGTCACAATCCCCCCGCGGCTGGGAGGCGGGCAGTCCGGAGGCCGCCCTGCGCACACAGGCGGTTCTGGAAGAGGTCATCGGTTCTTGGGTCTCTGTAAACCTGAGCTGTTTCCTCCCTGGTGCCCCACCCTCCGCGGGTGTCACTGCGGGGGCAGCGGGATGCCCCTGGGGTCGGTGACCTGACCCTCCTGCAGGTTCTTGACGAGCTGCGCCAGCCAGCGCTTGGTGGTAGTGTCGTCCTTCAGCACCTGGGCGAAGGTGGTGTCCTTCAGCTGGTCAGGAAGGCACTGTCTGAGAGCCTCTCGTGCCCTACATCAGGAGACGAGAAACAGGGGGGCCAACAAATAAACTCACATTGACAAGAGGGGAGCACGCCCCCTGCTGGAACATTACAGCCTGGGACAGGCCTTCCCCGTGTCCTCAATAGCAGGCTGCTCTGAACGTGCCTGGGAACATGACTGTAGCCATGACCTCCCCTCCTTCCCCAAACCCAAGAGCTCCAGGCAGATCCCCCACATTAGACCCAAGGGCCCCCCCAGTTCCAACACATTCCCAGTCACAACCCCCTTCCAGACATGAGGGGAGTGGCACGTCTGCAGAGTCAGAGGCTTCAGAGCCTGCCCAGTGAGGGACAGAGTAAATGCAAATATAGCAAGCCGGAGAAGTGGCCCCTCATTACTCCACCACTCTGCCTTCCATGAGCCCTTTGTAGCATAGCCCCACAGGAGCGAGGTGAAGCTCGCGCAGCAGCACCGGCCCTGGTCCCTACGTTTCAAGTCGCGCTGGGACAGTTGTAATTTGTGACCATTTGACCTGCCGAACCTGCGTTACAAGAGTCAGGCAGAGCCAGCGTGGCCGGCAGGTGCTGCGGGAGCTCATGGGTCTGTATCAAGAAAGGTCCCGTTCCGCTTCCAAGGCTGAGTGAGAGGCAGACACGCGAAGCGGGAATCCCAACGGAATGGCACTTCCAGCAAGAGGGGGAAGCACCTTTGCTCTCTGCCCCACAAGAGCCCCTGAAAACTCCTAAAATGTTTACCTTGGGTTATCGGAAAGGCGAAGGTAGCAGCGGACCACGTGTTTCAACAGCCTTGCGGACGGCTCCTTGGAGAGCTGTAGGACCATCTTACCCTGTTCGACAAAGGAGCGGCTCCAGTTAGAGAAATGGTGTTTAGAAAAAGGACTAGGAAGTGCTCGACTTCAGTGGTTTTGTTTCATTCTCCCAGGACTGGGACCGGGTTTTGGCAGCCACCAAAGCAGAGAGGACTGACTGGTGCCTGCTGGCAGGCAGGCCGTCCTCTTTCCAGTCTAGCTTGTAACACTAATAGGAGATGACCCCAACTCAAAGACCCTGCTCAAACTGGGGCCACTACTGTGGGGCTCTCTCCCACCAAGACCCACTTACAGCTGAATGGACCCAGCTGTCATTACAGATTATATCACCAGGCCATTTCCTTCAAAACTTGATTATTCATATTCAGCCCAGGACCTGCAAGAGTTCCATCTCCCTGATCTTTGGTCCAAGGTTCAGGATGGAAAGTATTTCCCAGGGCTAGGGTTTCAGCATCCGCTCACTCGGTTTGCCCGCAAGTGACAGCATCCCTCTCCTTAGAGCCGTAAAGGAGGGATAACGAATGTCTGATAAGCACTGGGCAAAAATCTACATAATCCGACCTCAGGCCCATTGGATATTAACTGATCTATGCGGCTAAAATAGCTCTTTTTGCATTGTTTATGTCCCACCTCACTCCCCTTACTGAGGGATCTTCCTTGGAGATTCTAACTGTGCAGGTTTTAGTCAGTCTAGTCATAAATATCCATGATGTGTTTTACACTCATCCCAGTAAGAGTTAGATGAGAAGCTGCAGGTGAATTTACAAAGCTGACCATGGGAAGCCTGCATAGGACGGATCCTTGGCAGCAGGTGCTATCATGGGTAAACACAAGCTAGTTGCTCCAGTGTAACCCCGTTAGTAAGTGAAGAGAGCAACCAATCCTACCAATATCATGGCGACATGAGAAAACCGCTCATAAGTCTGGCAGATATACGCCAATCCTGTATCATCCAGGAGGATCTTCTGTAGAATAAATGTAGCAACCTGGAACAGAGGGGAGAAATCACTTAACCAGCTGCGCCTGTAATGGACCACGTCCTGTTTGTTCTTCTGACAGCAACCCCTACCAACTGCAAAACGGACACATGCCAAGAGCACCAAGTATTTCAACAGGGGTGGCTAACAGGTTTACCCAGTTTCAAACCAGAAGGAACAGTTGGTCTTTACACAGCACATGGAATTCACTGTGAAAGGGAGAAAGAAACAAACAGATCAGGACCGACCAACTCAAAGGGGCACCAGACCCTGCCTTGAACAACAGATGCAAAACCTGCAGACATCTCTCCATAGCTACAGGGATATACACCCCGCAACACCTTTCAGGATCCCTGGCAGCTATACATACCTTTCACAACACATGGTGCACCTCATCCAATGCCCCAACAACAACGATGTGGGTGAAATCAATACACCCCCGTATAAACTCGCACAGGAAAATGATAAAAGACAAACACACCATGTGCCCTGCGGGCGGACACCTGTCACAAAGCGATCGCTCTCTATCCGACCTACCAGTCCTCGGCCTCAAAGGAAACCCACAGAGCACTTTCAAAAGACGAGCCTGGGAGCTTCAATTCATAACTTTGCTAGGCACTAAAAATCATGGTCTTAATAACACTGGATTTACGGCTTATTACAACCATCTGTAACCCACTAACCCCCTTTTTTGTCCTATGACTGCAGGAGTGCTAATGGGCCACTCCACCTTGAATGTGTGTGAACACCTTACATTAAACCATTTGTTTCACCTTGTATTTAGCTGCAACAGCTTTTGCAAACCCGAGGGAGAGCTCGGCGTAGCCCGAAAGCTTGTCTCTCTCCCCGCCAGAAGTTGGCTCAGTAACAGATATGACCTCACCTATCCTGACTCGCCAATATCCTGGGGCCAACGCAGCGACAACAATGCTACAAGGGGAAGACAGGCAGACACAACAGCAGGGCCGTGTTGAGTCCCGTGTTCTCTCAGGCTACGTCCGCACTACGGCGCTCACCACTGCACGACGCAGCTGCGCCGCTGTAAGATCTCTCGTGCAGCTGTTCTACGCTGGCGGGACAGAGCTCTCCCGTCGGCATCATGAAACCACTCCCCACGAGCGGCAGTGGAAGAAGCTCCCACGCCAACACAGCGCCGTGCACAGCGGTGATTGCTCGGGGGGGGGGAGGGGGCGTGTGTGTGTGGAATATTCACACCCCTGAGCGACGTAAGGTTTGCCAGCGTAAGGAGCAGCATAGACATGGCCTAACAACTACCGCCATGCTACCCGAGGTAATGGGCAATTCAGACCGATCAACTGTTGAGAGAGGGGAGACAGGGAGGAACACCCCAGGCCACGGCCCTGCTTAGCCATATACAACCTTGCCCAGCTGGCTTGTGGCTTTCTTCTCAAGTGTTACACAGCCAGGCTGCCTTTCTGGAAGAGATGCTTTTATCAACCACGAGTGACTGGGCTAGGTACAGGCATGACGCAATACAATTCTCTGGCCTGTGCTATACAGGAGGCGGGACTAGACTAACGGTACCCTCCTGCCTTAACATCTACGAATATGGTCGAGTGGTGGGGGGAGCGTATATGACTGGGTGGGTCAGTGGTCGGCCTGAGGATGCCAGAAGAACTAGCAAGTGAGGCATTACTGTCACGCTTCAGCATGGCACAGTCACGGTGTTCACCAATTCAGGACAACGGAGACCCAAGACAGGCCACGGGAAGGTTATTCTCCAGCAAGGGAGGGTGGGGGAGTCACCAGCAACACGGCCCCTCACGCAGCACGAGAGCACAGCTAATGCGGGGGATGACGGTGGATAACATCCAGCTCGGATCTACAGAGCAACGTTTTTAAAGGAGATAAAGGGATCAGCAATTGCCCGTTGTTTTACAATGTCAAGTTGCAACAGAGGGAAGTTCAAACTAACTGGTAAGACGCACTGATCTGCTGCCTGCAGGGACATGATGAACATAACACCTGGGAACCAGGGGGAAGCGGCCAAGAGGCCAACAAAAACAAATCACTTAATTCAGCTAAAAGCAAATACCGTTTTGGAAAGTTCGCTGCCAGACTCCATGATGCGCAAGCAGAGGGGGATAATTTCTGTTGTCAACAAAAAGTTTATCACTTCTTGCTCATCCGTCTTCACCAGGGCCCCTAAAAACAGACAAAAGAACTTCAGATTTTAATCACTACTGTCTTGGAAAGAGCAGCCTGAGCGAGGAGCCAAATATTTATACGATCACAGTGATGACGAGAACACAAGCTTTGCTCAGGTTTGTCCAGCACAACGGGAGACTTTGGGCACAGCTTGAGTACAAAGAAAGAATATCTGAATGGTTACGGAGTGATGACTCAAGCAGCAGCTGTATCCCAAATTCGGCTTCTGAAACTGTTACTATCCGGTGGGGACAATCCTTTGGATTCCTAGCACCTGCTTTGCCGAAAGTAGCCCACCTACTCGCTTGTCTGGAACTTAAGAGCCATTAACCGGAGTCATTGTCAGCTGAGAGGCCTATCAAGTCCCATGCCACCTGGAGTGGATCTAGCTGACTTGCAGTGAGAAGCAGGAGGGGTTACTGGGAATACGGTACACATCTCATCGGAAAAGATTAAAGCGTTGATGCTGCAAACGCTACCTTCCTCGCTCGCTGGTTGTACCCCCCCCTTGCTTTTCTCTGTCTGACTTTACACTGTTTGCGTCACATGGCAGGGTTTGGGCCTTTTCTCTATGAAAACCAACTAGCACATTGTGACCAACATGCCAAGCGACACACTGCAGAAAAAAGAGGAAGAGAACATGGCTTCATGCAACACTCAATGCCGGGTGACCAAAAAGTCCCTGGAAGCTGTGCTCCAAGTCTCTCCAGGGCATACATCCTCACCACGCTGTGCGTGGGAGTGCAGACTGCTTCTCTGAGACAACTAGTCTGAGTCGAGAACAGTGTGACCGGCATGGGAACATGCTACATAAACCAGTGCCTGTATGCCCCCAGGGACTTTAAAGGGGGCACTGAACAGCCAGTGCAATCCTCATGCTAAATCTGCGGACATTTCTGGCTAGAGAACTGCAGTGGTTCAGCAGAATGAAGCAAATATGACATTTTTTAAAAGGCAGGTAAAGTCTAAGCTTTGTCTCCTCCCAGCAATAAAACAAACCCGATCTGAATCGTACCATCAGTTGACCACTGGCAACCTTCATGAAAAATGAATGCATTTTAGAGACGCTATCTTACTGTGCTGGGTTAGAAAGCTTTTGGGAAAAAAATAGGGGAAAATGACACCCAAGTAAATTCATGGCAAGAAAATGGAGAAAAACTATGGAAGTCTGACCCCCTCAGTAATTACTTCTCTGGATGGGCTCAGCTTGTAGCTGAAGAAAAAGCAGCTTCCCTGTTCCTGCAAGAGAACTCCCCACCTGCTTTGAGACCAGAACTTCCCAATGGAGCCAATTTTTCTTGTGCCAAACCGAGATGTGGCTTAGGTGCATGCTATCGATACATCAGCCATGCACTTGTATTCGGTGTGACAAACCCCGCCAGCAACACAGCCGTGGTCCAAAACTCTAGGGTCTTTTCTAGCACGGTCACGTAGAATTTATCTTCACAATTCCCACTAGTATTAATGGGAGTCACGCTGGTAAGCTCTCCGCACATCAATGGGAAGTTAGACATTATCACATAACTCAGAAGATTACGTAGGGAAGGACAGCAACAGTGATTTAAGGTGCTGCTACACTAAAGGAATGGGATGAATTGGCCCATAGGAAAGGAGGAGCCAGTGCTCCCAGTGTTTGCATGACTGCTTACCAATCACTCCAAGGCTGGTAAGCCGCAGGTATTCAAATGGACGAGTCTTGCTAACTGTGTGCAAGAAGGGATACAAGAAGAGAGGGATGTGAGCTGCAAGGAAGGCTGACCTGGAAGAAAAGGCAGAAGACACATTGAACATATACCATGAGAAGCCAAGCGGGCTAAACAGACCACACAATCCAGTGACACAGCGTGGTACATCTGCCTCCGCCTCACCAGACAGTAACACCCATCGCTCTAGGCAGGCAGGCAACGTATCCTCCTTTACAAACGGAGAGAGGGGAAGTGACATGCTGCGGGCCGCACCGTCAGTGCAGGATGGGCAGGCAGGTGACGGGTCATAGGTATCGCTCCCAACAGGCTAAGGATCTCACATATCTACATTTCTGTATTACCCCATCTCCCCCATCCTGATCTGCTTCTTGTCTCCCCCACATTACAGCTGTTCTTGTAGGTTGCAGATGCTTTGGTGCAGCAACTTATTTACCAGGTGCATGCCTAGCCCCCGGCTGGATGGGACCTCAATCTGCTTGGCCTCCAGCTACTACTACAGTATAAATATTACACAAGACCAACCGTCACCACAGCACTCAGTCATCCCTGGCTCCCAGCCCCAGAACCCATTTCTGATAATGGGCTGGAAAGAATTCTGATTGTGGGAAGTCCCCAGATGAAGAGGTTCCCCTGTTGACATACCATTTCCAAAGCCCATCCTAGGGGAGCTCTCTCTACTGAACTGAATGATTGTGTTCAGAGTAAAGAGAATCCACCCTTCAGATACTGATCTTGAATTTTCACATTTTTATGTAGTTATAAAGGAATCCAGTGAAAAAACTGGACTATTTCCCTGAAGACTGGCTTAAGGAGCAGTGCTGTGAAACCTTGTTTGGCAGAGGCTGAAAGACATTCTGCTTCCTAATTGTTCCCACAGTTTCGTTACAGGGCCTTATTCACAGGGAGAACAGAAACATGAGAGAACATGGCCATTAGGCCGGATTTCTTCTGGGTTTCAGTCACTGTTCTTTAGGGCGAGCCCCTGGATTATTCCTTTCCTTGTTGTCAAGCAACAGGGACAGTGAGGCCCTAGGATATTGGAGGGGCAGTGTTCTCCAGCAAATAAGGCACTTGACTGGGACTCCAGACATGGCACTTCCACTGACCTGCTGAGTGACTTTGGGACATTTTCCCTGGCTGTGCCTCTCTTCCGCCCACCCATTGTTGTGTCAAATTACACTGCAAGCTCTTATTAGGTGCTAGCACAACAGGGCCCCAATCTCAGCTGGAGTGTCTGAGGAAGACCAGGTTTTAGAGATTAGAGTATTTAAGGAAATCTCAATATGCAAAGTCCTATGTTTGGGGTTTCTGTAAAGCTGCATGCAAAGATCCACAAAGGAACTAGTGACAAGACAGTGCTGCTGTCCATCGTCTAGTGCCATATGCCACACTGCCTTTAACATGGAGGCAATATAAATGAACTTACCACTGGCCCAAAGTAACACAAAACAAATGATTTACACAGCCCGACACACAGTTTACAGGTACTTCGAGGCTAGCCAGTATGACTGATGACAATTACCTGGTTTCTGGATGCGACGCAACGCACTGCAGGAGCGCCAAAGCATTGCAAACTCGGTTAGATTGATGGGCTGTCAGGGTTGGAGGGTTGATTGATGGATAAATATTTACAATTTCCTGAGAAAGTTAAACAAAGCAAATTAAAGGAGAAAACTGGACCAAGCTGCAGAAATTCATTCGCCTGATAAGCGGCTGCAAGTGCCAGAGAGATGGCTGCCTTCTGTTTGCTACATCACTGCCTCATGCATCATTTTAAAAGGAAGTTATGTAACCTAGGGAACTCAAACTTTGCCCAAGTGAGGGCTGCACCATGCAAATTGCCAGGTATCAGGGTGATGCATCTATTTTGCATGTAATTAAGCAGATTACAGCTGCCTTTAATTGTCAGTTAGATACCATGGTAACTGATGCCCTGGAAGTACCAACAAACAACAGTGGTGCAGTTCACTGTGCCTAGAAGTCCCAGCATGCAAAGCTCTATCCTGATCTATCATATGCTGGGACCTCTCGTCTCCGTGAAGCGAAGATGCTATGGGTACCAAGAAGGATGAACTGCGTGAGCACAGGGGGCAGTTATAAGGAAGTGACTGAGGAGGAAAAGTCTGCCCCATGCCTGTCGATTACTAACATAAGCCCTTTCTGACTTTCTTCCCTTGCTCCACGTGTATGCTGAACAGGAGTTTCTCAGTGCCCGTCCCTCTTATTTTAATTTAATTCCTCAAAGGAAACTCCCAGGTCTCATATTCAGAGAGTCAAGCAGCAGCTGTGGAGTGTGGTGGACGGCTGAAGAGGTAAACAAGGAGGGACATGCGTGTTTTTATTCAAAAGGCTCTCTTGCAGTAGGAAGGGTTAAGTGACGGAGAGGTAACTGAGGAAACCCATGAGACGCCACATCAATGAGCGAGCTCTCCCAGTCACCTGCACAGCACCCTGAGCATCATTTCAGTGCAAAGGAGAAGCACCCACCTGCAGAAGAGCTGCGATTGTGCCAAATGAGTGCCATAGCATTGGGGCCAGGTCCGGGACTGATTCACGCTTCTTACTCAGCTCCAGCAAGGCATTCTCACGGGTCTCGGGGCTGGATAGTTCATTAATCCACTGATAGATCTTCTCTCTATCCACCTGAGCCAGTGCTGTCGGCACAGGCTTGAGGGAAGACAATAAAACGTGTAAGTACATCACGTTTTTTTCGGATTCAAACCAGACCCTTTTTACTTTGAGAGAGACAGATGAAGCCAGGCAGTTAATGCAACCTCAATTAGAGGAGGAAGAAAGCAGCAGACCTGCTTTTCTAATAGTGTTCTGGACACAGATAATGGTCTCAGGTCAATGCTTATCATTTCACCTGCCACGAAACATGGACAGGTGCTTTGCTTCAAGGAATAAATCTCTCGCTACTGTAGTTTCTCTGTATCCTCTGGCAAAATGTTATCTAGCAACTTCCTTCAACAACATTCAGCGAATCGCATGACTTCCAATCGATACAAGCAAAAGACTAGGACAGGTTATTTTTCATTCTTTTCCCACTAGAAATCTATGCTATATCACAGCACCAGCCCTGTCTATGTTAAGTATCTTTAGACCCTGCATTCAAAGTGTATGCATAATAAAAATGTATTTAAAGGAGTTCTTAAGACACGTTAGTTTAGATTCCACTGGTTTTAGACCTCCAAAAAGCTCAAGACAGCAGCTTTTCAACACAAGCGACTCTCACTCAAAACGACAGTAAAATAAGGGTCCTACATAAATGAAAAAGATTCTAATTATTTCATCACCCTTCGCATGGTACCCCGGGGCATTTTAAAAGTATTGCTAAAGAGACATTGTGCTACAACTAGATGTTGCAGAAATCCATCTTGCTTGCCCATGAACGTCAGTCTCTTCCCTAAGTATATATCTTAAAGGGAAACCCCTTATTAATTTGCTGTGTGGTAAAAATCCCTTCCAGAATAAGACAGAGAGAACTGAATCTGTACCCACACTCGGGTAATATTTTTAAGATTAAAGATGACAGTTTTTAAAAAGATATTTCCATACCCACTTTCTCACGAGATCAGTGAAAGAATAACATCTTCAGTGAGTTCTCAGGTAGAAAAGAATCACATTGGGGAATCCAGGATTTTAAGATCTCTCTGATTTCCTTTGCAGAAAAGCTAAACTTTCATTAAAAAACAAAGTCTCATGCCTTTGCGAATGCTCTTTACAACAGCAATACAAAACTAATGCATTGCTGCTCTATTAAACTGACAATCTGGTAGTTTAGGTTGAAAATTCAGGTGTAACTAGATATGAATAGGACTATTTTCTTGATGTTTAGACCAACTAGTTACAGTGTAGTTAGATTTAAGCATTCCCTTGCAGTGTCCTCTGCAACTCAACTCTTTCACAAGAACTAGGAAGTGAAATCAACTAGTACCAGAAGTGAAACTGTACATCAGGAACCAATCCTTACAGAACTGTGGAAGTTAGAGATGAGATGCGTATTAGGGTCCATCTAATTCTTTGGGATACCGTTCCACAGCCTCACTTCTCAATATCAACAAGTGTTTCCTGATACTTAGGTAAAGTTTTCCCTCTTAATTTCATCCATTCGGCACAGTTATATCCCATGCACATTCTAACTAATCCTTCCCCACCCTTGGTATTTATGCTATTAAAAATCTGTAGACTTAATAACCCCTTGTTCTTATTCACTTAGAAAAGTATTTGTTTAGTGCCATCAGATTATCTGTAGATGTCACACACAGTCAATCCCTGCCCTGCAAAGCTCACTACACATTTTAACTCTTCATCTTTCCTCAAATCAATCCTTCTCGCCCCCTCTCCTCTCCCCCTGTTTTCCAGATAGCTTTTCAGAACCTCAAACCAGGGTATCTCTTGAATGGTGAAAAGTGACAAATTTATTCTGTTTTAAGAGTGAGAAGTGTAATCCTATAACAGTGCTTAGAAATACATGGAAAACTGGAAGGTCTAATTTGTATTAGTTTATGACGACTGAACGACAAGCCCTTTGACAGATAAACATTCGGGTCTATTTTGCTAGACATATTGGAAAGTTCAGTTCAAGTTAACAGTTCAAATGTGTTGACTCCTCAGCAATGCATGCACAAATTTATAGTGTCCAGTGCCTTCTTAAGAAAGAATCAAATTTCTCCCCAGACCCTACAGATTCCCATCTGTTTCTTTTCCCTGAAAGTCTCATCTGCTTTTAATGCAGTCATTGATAAAATACTCTAATTTTCAACTTGCTGTTTTCAAGGCTCACAGTCTCATTCTCCTTCCCTAAGATCCTGGTGAAGGTCAAATGCTGTATGTAAACATTGCAGATACTTATCAATGATCTTACTAAATGTACTCTGTTGCACCTCATGTATGCAAGAGTGATGCCATAGCTATCTTAAAGCACCACGCACTGAGCGCTTGTGAATCACTGAAGAGCCCACAACACATTTCACAAGAGTAAGGGCATTTACCTGCAGTGACCCTGCCAAATGGCAACTCTGATAATAACATAACAACCTTGATTTAGCCAACTGGAGACTTCTTTAATTAAGAAACTGCCCCCCAAGCATTCTGGGTAAAAAACATTGATTATCACACAACGTTGCCGAATTGTGTGTGTTTCTCTACATATACTGTTAGATGATCAACCTGATAACACCAGAATGAACCTTTATTTAACAAGAATGAACTAGCAGGGGTCTGATTAATTTGTATTTTCACTCTCATGCTTCTATTTCAAGTTTTCTGTCGTTTATTGTTTTTGCTCCATTCTCTGGACCTCCCCTCTATTATGTTATGCCCCTTTCAGATTAGCATCTCAATGCAGGCTCTGCCAGCAGTCTCACTATGTAGAAGGCCAGTGCTCTGCCTTATTACAGTTTTGTAACAGCAACTTCTTCCAACCTAAAAAATAAAAACCCCTGTTTATAGGCCTAACAGCCTTGCCTAAGGATAGGGTTATGTACTGCAGCCATCAGCACCGGGCTGCATTTTGGGCCCCATTTACATTTCTAAATATAAATGCAGGTTGGTGGACAGTAAACACATTTCATCACAGCTCACAGAGCGTATATATATATATATTGAAGACTTTTTAAATTAGCACTCAACAACTTGCTCTCCATTCACATCAACCAGTTGTTTTTATTAGATAACTGTTTAAAAACAGTTTATCGCAAGGAAGCCTAGCGTATAGCTGGGGGCTTAATGGGAGGTACAGCAATCCCTTATCCACTATAAAAAAGGATAGAAGCATTTTGCTCTAAAATCGTAAGGGACGGCTAAAATAGTTAACTTTCTGCTTTCACCCGTTTGTACTCCACACATGTATTTAGTCCAGGAATGATTCTTTACAATCATGGCATTAGACTGGCTAGGAAAACTAAAGGCTGCTGGAATTAGATGCCGCTAAGTGCTTGGGTGACTCATATTTGTTTTTGGTTTTTTTTAAGTCTGACTAGGACTGGCAGTAAATGAATTTTAAAACATCCCTACAACCTGATCTCCCAGCAAACCACCCCGGCGCCCGCACGCAACGGCAAGGCCTCTCACGGGCTCCGGTTCCAAGGAGCGTCCCGCAGCTCGAGGCGGGATGTTTCGCCCCGGGAACCCGCACGTGCCGCGGGGGGGGGGGCGCGAGAAGCCCCCCCGCAAGGTCTCAGCCTCCCCGCGCGTGCCGGGGCTCCCCGCGGGCACCAGCGGTGTGTCCTGGCCCTGGCCCGGCAGGGACCCCGGCGCTCGGGGGGGGGGTAAGAGGCGCGCTCTGGGAAGGGCCCCGGGGCGAGTTCTCCGGCCTGCGCGGCCTCCAGCAGGCGCCGGAGCAGAGGGTCCCGCGGGGCCGCCCCCGGGCTCTTCGGGGGCCGCCGCCCCAGCAGCAGGAGGGGCGATGGGAGGAGAAGCGGGCGGGCGGCGGGGGCCCCCCCGGGCTGAACGGGGCCCCAGGCCGGGGGGGAGAGGCCAGGCCGGGGGGGAGAGGCCAGGCGGCCGGGGGGAGGCCAGGCCGGCCGGGGGGGGCGGGACCCGGCCGCTCCAAACGAGCTGCGAACGGGGACCCGGCGCCGGGGGGGGGGGCGAGGCCAGGCCGGCCGGGGGGGGGCGGGGGCGGGACCCGGCCGCTCCGGGCGAGCTGCGAACGGGGCCCCGGCGCCGGGGGGGGGCGAGGCCAGGCCGGCCGGGGGGGGCGGGGGCGGGACCCGGCCGCTCCGGGCGAGCTGCGAACGGGGCCCCGGCGCCGGGGGGGGCGAGGCCAGGCCGGCCGGGGGGGGGGGGCGGGACCCGGCCGCTCCGGGCGAGCTGCGAACGGGGCCCGGCGGCGGGGGCGGGGGTGGGGGCGGGACTCACCGCGGCCGTGGCCAGGCTGTGCATGTTCGGAGCCGCCGCTCGCGCCGCCCAGGGCCGGGATCAGGAGGCCGCCGCCGCCGCCGCCATGGGGCCCAGGCCGCCTGCGCGCCGCCGTGACCCCTGCCCTCCGCCCTCTCGCCCCGTCACGTGCGCCGAGCGCGCGCAGCCGGCGGGCGCGGACCGAGCCCGCGCGCGGTGAATTCTGGGGCAGGGAGCGCTCCGGGGCCGGGGACGCGGGGTCCAGCCGGCGCCTGCGCGCGTGCTCCGCGGCGTGGTGACGTGCCCGCGCCGGGCGTGCGTGGTGCGTGCGTGTCGCGCCGCGCGCGGGGAGTCTCGCGCTGCTGCCCGCTTCCCGCCATCTGCCTCCCTCGCCCCCCGGTCTCCCTGAGGAGCGAGCGGGGCTTCGGGAGAAACCGAGCGGCAGGTAGCGGGGCATGGGGGAGGGGAAGCCGCGGGGGCGGCCGGGGAGGGGCCATAACCCCCCCCCCCACACACACACACACACATACGCAGACAAGGGGAGCCCGGCTCCCCCCGGCGCTGCGGTCCCCCCCCACCCGGGGACCCCGGCCCGCCCGGCCGCCCACGGGCAGCCCCGGGGTCGCTCTCTAGCCCTGCGCGTTAGGCGCCCCCCCCCACGGCACACAGGGAGCGCAGCCCCCCCCTCCCCCCGGCCTGGTGCTCCCTCTTCGGGCTGCCCTCAGCCCTGGCGGCTTCCCTCCCCTCCGCGCTGTGCCCCCCACCCCCCTAGGCGGCCCCTGAGCCCGGCCTGTGGCGTTTGGGACGCTCCTGGGGGGCCCCTGCCCTTGCCCAACAGCTAGTGTGAGCCCCCCCCCCCCCCACACACCCCGCGCGCTCCAGGCCTTGGTTTCCTCTGGATCCCCCAACCTAGGGGGACGTGTGGGGAAGGGCTGGCAGGTCTAGCGACCCCCGCTGACCGCAGCACCGCAGTCCTGGGGCTGGACAGAGGCCTGCAGCTGATGATGAAGAAGGTCAGGGCCTGTCTTCCTGGGGCCTATCGATATCGAATTGCTCTTTGGGAAAGAAAAACAAGGAGGAGTCCGGTGGCACCTTAAAGACTAACAAATTTATTTGGGCCTAAGCTTTTGTGGGTGTAAAACCCACTTCTTCATGCACTGGAGCAAGTGGATTTTTTTACCCCCGAAAGCTAACACCCGAATAAATTAGTCAGTCTTTAAGGTGCCACCAGATTCCTCGTTGTTTTTGTGGATACAGACTAACACGGCTCCCCCTCTGATATTTGGAAAAGAAAGTGTGCCTCTGATTCCCTAATTCTTTCACCATCAAAAATGCGGTCGGGGCTATGTCATGGTCAGAAAATGTTTCTCTGTTTGAATGTCTGAGGAGGTGTGAGTCTGTAGATTGCGGTCTTCCGTCCAATTGGCCTGTCTACATTGTTGCAAGAAAACTAAAGGGGAGTGGAGAGAATAAGCTGCAATAAAAAGTGGCAAAATACTTAAGTACTTAGCTTTAGCCATTGACAGCAGTCTGGTCTATAGATATGTTTACGCTAGACTTTTGCTTAATTTTTCCCTGCAGTGCAGCTCTACAGGTGCCATTAATGGAGGAAGCACTGGTTTTGACTAACGTGTATAACCTTGCTGAGAGCAGATCTAGCTGACACCTGTATCTTGTGTGTATTGGCGTCTCCCACCATTACTTTCACTAGCAGAGCAGAAATGGAGAGAGAGAAAGTCTACACTAGGGAATGGTGATGGAATGCAACTTCTTAGTCTTGTGTTTTTGGATAAACTGCATCGCCTTTCATGGAATTTGTGTCAGAGTTAGTGATGAAAGGGCAGGTTCAGTAAGGCACTCTGCTATACATATTGCTGCTGATTAACCTGCGGAAACACCCTCATTGTCTTTAAAGAAACTCCACTTAAAACTGTGTTGTTCAAACTTGAACTGATTTGACCCTGCTATTTAGTTACTGTACCTTGTGTGTGTCTAGGTTGTAATTAAGAATAGTGTTTAGTCAAAAGTTAAATAGAAAAGGGTGGTTATGTGTGTGTTCCTATTATTAAAAACCAAGGAAAGACAGAAGCTTTGATCAGACAATGCCTATCAAAACATGAAGTATTTACAGAATAATTTGTCATGTTGTTTTAGTAATTTGTATTAGTATTGCTTAGAAGCCTCAGTCAAGTTGGAGTCTCATTGTACTAAGTGCTGTACCAATGTAAAAATACAATCTATACTCAAAAGTTTGCAATCTGGACCAATGACAAGATGCAACAGGTGGCTGAGACAGAGAAATGTGTGAGTTTGAGGTGACAGTGATTCAAGCATGTAAAATACAAAGAATAAATTTTGTTACTAAAAGCAGATTTCTCATTAGATGTTTCATTGTCTAATTTTGGAAAAAAGTGGTTTCCTAAAAAAAAAAAAAGTGTTGTTTTTTCTCCCCTACCCATCATCATTCCCTGCTTGGTCTTAGCTAAAGGTGGATTTGTTTTGGAAACTCTGTGGAAACTACATTATTAGATTTGCAAGATCTTTTGGTGTCTCACCCAACATTAAACATTTAGGGGTTAAAGCAGAGCTCTCCAAACTGTGGGACACACCCCATGGCTGACCAACCGGGAGGGAGATCCACCCACCTCTGCTCCTGGCCCAGTGCTCATCTGTGGCCCCAGCCTCAGCCCCCTTACCCTTGTCCACATTTCTCTTCCCCCCGCCTCACCCCCAGCCTGGTGGAGGGGGAGCATAGACGGGGTAAGGGGGTCATGACCCTGAAAAGTTCGGGGCCAGTGGGTTAAAGTAATGCTGTCCAAATTGTGGAAGATTTCTTTATCTATGTTTTGTTTAATGTATTCTATTTTTTCACTAAACTCCTGCAAAATACGCTATTCCTTATTTTTACACTTTACGCAGATATATTTGCCAGTTACCAATTTTAATTTTCTTATTTTTAACAGGTTTCAAGGTGAAGTAAATTTAGTTAATCTGTTATAAGTTATTTATTTGGGGAAAAAAAAAATGGCTCCACTGAAGGTGCATGGACCTGTCCGGATGCGTAGCATACAAACTGGGATTACAAAATGGAAAGAAGGAAGCTTTGAAATTGTGGAGAAGGACAACAAAGTGAGTCTAGTGGTTCACTACAATGTTGGAGGAATTCCAAAGACATTTCAGGTACTCCAAATATCAAGGTGTTTTGTATGAGCAATGCATGGATTGTTCCCTTTTGTGAACAGCTGTCATCTCCAAGACTACTAAGTATCACACAAACTTCCCCCTGTGACTCTTCCTTGGTTTTCATTTCCAGAACACTAATCCTTTTGTATAACCATACTTTAAATTATTCAGGTGTATTGTTGGGTGGAATGCCAAGGCCGGAGTGAGCAAACCGTTAACTGGGAAGAAATGAAAAAGCTTAAGACATGAAAGAAAATGACCAAACTATATAGTATCTTGCTTTTTAATTATCTTTTTGAAACTCTTTTTGCTTATTTGATAAACTTCCAGAGCACGTATGTGAAGACCTATTAGGTCACCTACACCTTGTCTGCACTAGCACTTTTTCCAGTTGAACTGCTGAAAATTCCCAGTGTAGACATACCCTTAGTCCAGGTGCAAGACTCTTCACTGTTCTACGTGGACTGCAGTTCTGTCCAGTCTAGATTTTACATGTGCCAAGAAACCTGACTTCCACCACTTCCCTTGGGAGACTTGATAGATCTCGCTGTCAGGAAGTCTCATACGTTCAGCCTAAATTCTCCTTCTCTTATTTACATCCCATTCCTCCTAATTATTTTTTAAATTGCAGTGGGTGCCCCAAACACCATGTCCAAACACACATGAAGATACAGTGCTTGCCCTGAAGAGCTTACAATCTAAAAAAGACAAAGTATAAAAGCATAAAAGTTGGGTTGGAGCCAGTATGGCAAGTCCTATGTTTTCTATGTAAGAAAAAGATTAGCTTGGGTGATTCTTCGTCTAAGTGCTACTGTATATTTAATATCCCTAAGGACTGTCTGCCTTCTTACCTGAGGAGTCCTGGGGAGGGTTCTCTTCAGTGGATAGGACGGATTTAATGGTCCAGAAGGTACCTGCTGAATCTACATTAGGAACGGAAGAGCAAAGTTGTGTATTATTGGCAGGGAATTTGTTTGGATTGGTGAGATGAGTAAATCTAGTATCATGTGCTACCAAAGATTTTAATAAAAAGAAAAGGAGTACTTGTGGCACCTTAGAGACTAACCAATTTATTTGAGCATGAGCTTTCGTGAGCCACAGCTCACTTCATCAGATGTTTACCGTGGAAACTGCAGCAGACTTTATATACACACTTTATATACACTGTGTGTATATAAAGTCTGCTGCAGTTTCCACGGTAAACATCTGATGAAGTGAGCTGTGGCTCACGAAAGCTCATGCTCAAATAAATTGGTTAGTCTCTAAGGTGCCACAAGTACTCCTTTTCTTTTTGCGAATACAGACTAACACGGCTGTTCCTCTGAAACCAAAGATTTTAATGAGCATATTGGTAGAAAAATAGGGATCATGCCAACTGTAAGTTGATAAACAAAGTGTGTGAACTTAATTCTCAGCAATTTGGTGATATTCATGTATTGAAACAACAGTTCCTGTAATAGGAAACACTGGGAGAAATTTTAAAAGTCCCTTTTTCTGTCTTCAAGTTCAGATTAATCAGAAACCTCTTCATCTGCAGGTTTGGGAGACCCTATTGTCCTGTTATAGAGGCAAATTGAATTAAATCTTTCTCTCTCTGGAAGCTAGCAGCTTTTCATACTTGTAAAAAATGATTGTTAATGGTTCCTAGAGGCCTCAGCCGGGTTGGGGCCCCATCGTGCTAGATTCTATATACAGACATATATAGTCTTTGTCCAAGAGACTTTATAATCTAGTTTAAACAAGACACAACTGGTGGCTGGAGAGAATGGAGGACGATGAATACTGTTATGTCTTCAGAGCTTTTTAAGTTGCAACAGGAGGTTTGACCTTGGATGGTGACAAGATTGAGAGTCTTTTCTGGTGTGCTTGTTTTAGGAGAGAGTGGAAGATTTGAAGGCCCCACTTGAATTCTTGCTGTACTGAAAGTTTTCAGTTAATTAAAAAAGCAAGGATTGGGCATAAAAGATGGTGGAAGG